CTTTCCTTTTAAAGAACCCACTGCCAGACCCTTTCTTCTTCTATTATCCACTTGAAATAATGCACAGCTCATTGATAGACAAATACCCACTGAGGACCTGGTCTTTGCAAAAGTAATGATTCAAGAAAGGTTAGCAGTGAGAACATTTACACCCTCTGGCTGCAAGAGGCATGGGGATTCTCCAAAGACTTCACTGTTGTGCTTCCCACCCCAGACACTGACGCCAAGGGAGGATCGGGGGAATATTCTGAGTTCCTCTTAAATGTGAACGTGTCATCCCAGTCTTCTGTCTCTAGCAAGGGGGTCCAATTTCTCTGACCCTTCATTCTCTTGTGAAGACGAAGCCCTCCGTGAGTGGTACCTTCCAGATTCTCCTTTCCACTCTACGGATACTGGCAGGACAGCTGGGACACAGAAGCGACACCAGAGGAGGAGGAAAGTAATGAGGAAAAAGCAGTCCTATTCTAAGACAGCAAACCGGGATTCAGTAACTAGATGCTCCACACTCCTTTGACACTTCCCCGCAAGCACCATCAAGGGCACCGTGCACAAGATCCAGTCCTGTGTTTTTAAACCTCTTTCCTTGACCCAGAAAAATCACAGCTGACCTTGGCTTACAAAACGCTTATCCAAAGGCCAAGCCGCAAAGGATGAGAGAAGGGGAGTTGATGCTGTTGACGGTGACCCTTCGGCCCACCTTCCCTTTCTTCGACGTTCATTTAGACCTCGAGGCGAGACTGAGCAGAGTCCGGGACCTCCCCTTCCCTGGCCTGAGACCGCACGAGCGGCTCCCAAATTCGGCCAGGACGCCACGATGTTCTCAAATGGCCGGCTGCCCGGCCGGCTCAGCGGGTACCCGGACGCTCGTCGCGCTTCGGCACCGGCCGAGGCTGACATCTTCGAGGCTGCACCGCCCGGGTCCCCGGCCCGCGGAAACTCCGGCCAGCGAGTCGGGAAGCTGGCCGCCGCGGCCCCGACGCCGTCTCCGCAAAGGCGGACAACAGGATGGTCTCTGGAGCCCGACTGCGGGGCTCCCCGAAACGGTCCGTCCGTCAGCCCGCGGCCGCCCGGTCCAAAACCACCGCCGCCCACGGACAATGGCAGCCTCGCCTCCGCCACCGCGCAGCTGCCGGGGCTCCTCGGGAGCTCTGGGGCCCACGCCGCTCTCCCTGCCACCCGCTCACCTGCAGGCCGCCGCCCTCGCCCCGCGCTGCTCCCAGGCGGGACCCGCCACACGCAAGACCGGCCTCAGTGTGCCCCGCGTCCCCGCCCGGGTCCCATCCGACACCGCGCTCCGACCGGAAGTGGAATGACGCCCTTCCGGGGAGGGGCTTGGAGCCGCCGGGCCAGGGGCCCCACCCTCGCGGAGGAAACCCGCTTTCCTTCCAATGCCGCCCTGGCAGTCGGAAAGAGTTAATGCTACCGAGTGTCCTGT